ACTGTGATGACAGAAACACACCACTGTACCTATACCAAGCTTATTTGTTAATATGGAGTCACCTGAACTTTTTTGCCCAGTTGGCTTCCAACTATGATCCTCCTAACTGCCTCCTCTTGAGTAGGTAGGATTCAGCTTTGAGCCACCAAGCCCAGCTCACATTCATAATTGTACTCTTCATATTGACTCAGTAAACAATTATAGTCTTCTCATAAGCTTTACTTATTAACAATAAATTAAGAATTATATGTTATTGAAGTATATGTTTAGGTCATAACTAATAATTCATATAAAATTTATCTTTTTCAAAATGGATAAAATAAGGAAATAGAAATAAGATATGCACTTAAACGTGTCTGTTACTTGTAAGATGTGTATAAGTGAGCTCATATGTGTTTGTCCATGTATCATCTACATTTCTACTCTATTTATCTATCTAATTTTCAGGTCATGCATAGATTATTAATTACTCCAAGGACCAAAAATATACATAATTTTATTTTGGAGATTACGCACAAGAGTAGTTTAAAACATATTTCAAGTTTATGGAGTACTATGTACTTACTAATTTTGTAATTATATTAACTTTATGAAATTGTTTGATCCTTTTTATGTTTTAACCAAAAATAAGACATTTTTAAATGTTAAGCATGTCTAGGCTTCTTTGGACTATAATCAAGGGCTACATTCCACTATGTGTATATACACACATATATAAATATGTATACATGTAAATATATACACAGATATATAAGTATATACACAGAGGAGTGCTGACAGGAAAAAGTTGGAATAAATATGTCTGAACATGTTACTGTCTGTCATGGCAGACTTTACCAACATAGAATGTAAAAGCACAAGAACAGCTCCTGTGATGTCATAATACTACTGAGATCACTCAAACTGATGATTGAGGACACTTTTGTAAGAGGATACATCCCTTTGGATTGCTATTTTTTGCCCTTAGCATTATTTAAGGTTCTTGAAAGATGCTGCAAGGTCTTAAGAAAATATGAGTAGAAAATATATGAGCAGCTCCATGCATCATAGCTTGGTAGGTTTGGTAACCCATCTACTTATTTATGCTGCATAATTTCCAAAAGGTTTTTGTATACTTTATCAATAAATATAATGAATTCAATAAGATGAAACATAAATATGAAAAGAAAATTCACAAGAAAAAGCAGGTTGGCTTTTTTTGTCATTTTTGCAATGGTATCATTAAGCTACACACTGTGAGCTTGGGTATTTGAATATATCTGAGGCCAAAGACTTTTAATCTAACCATGGGTTTAACAAATTAGTCCTCTTCTTGGGAATCACTTATTGCCAAAGTGAAGCAATAAAATATAGTCACAAACCTTAAGTTTATGACTTTTACTTTACTGTTACATTTTTAGGGATTAATATATTTCCAGCCTTTATTTTCTAGAGGTGATGTATATTCTTCACTTCTAAAATCAACAATTTTTAGAAACTGTCCAGTTATCCAACCAGATGGCACTGCAACTATCTTTTCCAAATAAGGTATAATGAAACTAATAAAAAATTCTGTCTTTCAAAGTGAAGTTATAAGTGTAAACAAGAAGGAAAATTCGTTTTGTTTTTATCCTCCTCAATAAATACATGCCAATAAGAAACATATTTTCTGATGCCTTAAACATTCTATGAATATTGTCAGTTACTCAGGGGCATTGCTTGGTGTGATTCTGAATTGTTTAGAAAACAAAATATAATACATACTTCCCTTTTGCAAATGTAGAATCAGTGCTTATCAATGAGATAAAAATAGTTTGTATCCACCATTGTTCTACATTATTAATGAGTTATTTAACACATTGTTTGCTAAGGAGTAGATTATTTCCTGTGCTACCTTCTTACTATATGCAGAGAGAGGCACCAGGCACTATGGGTGAAATAAAGATACATATGAATAATTGACACAAGACTGCAGCCCAACGTTCAGATAGATCCTTTAAAGGATTACATATGATCATGTAGCAGCTAGTAAAGATTGCTGGAAAAAGAAAGAAAATAGGATTTAGAATACGGTCATGAAGAATGGATGCATCTTTACATGGTTGAGAAAAGGAGGGAAGGAAGAAGGCACTGAAATATAACTATAGGAAATATTGGGAATATTTGGGAACCATAGGAAAAATCATCTTGAACTTATAGAGGGAAAAAAGTTAGGAAAGTGTTAAACCATTGTCTATAACAATACACATATGAGATATAACTTGGATTTTGAAGGCAAACCGTAAGCACAGGTAATATTAATAAAAAGACTTTCCATAAATGTTGTAAAGAATGTATTCTAATATCAAGCACTGAGAAAATATTACTTTCCACCATAAGTTTCCTTTGTAGTATTAACTGGTCCTTATTATTAGGCAAAATGCCTTTTATAATTTTTATATAAAACTTTAAGACTTCCAAGTTCACACTAAACCACACTGCACCTCTGAAAACTCATTAATTGCACAGATGTGGTAAGCAAATAAGAGATGATAATTTAGTAAGATGGGAAGATGTGTTAATTCATAATGAGCCACCTTTATTTTTCTGATGCATATTTAGATATTAACTGCAAACCCGGAAAATAGAGCAAATCATCAGGGTTTCTACAATCCTGTTACTAGATGCCGGATAGCTGTGACTGTCTAACAACTTGCTTTATACTACTGTGAATATTGTATAAAGATTTATTAAATGTCTACTATATGCTGGGTTAATTGCATAATCTACATATCTGATTCAATTTTTGGAAAGTCTTTTAAAGTAGTTTATTATTGACACTGTTTTAGAGGTGAGTAAAACTAGACTTCAGGGAAGTGAAATTGCCTAATGTCCCCCAATAAGAAAATGATAGATCTAGGGTTCAAACCCAAACAAGTCTTCACTCAACAAGGATGTTATTATAGTTAGTCTGCTGAAACAGTCCTCTAGGCATTATATAATTTTTTGCAAGCAAAGAGATGAATTGGTTTTTGATAGAAACCATCCTCTTGGGTTGGGGGCACTGCTCAATTGATAGGGTGCCTGCTAGCAAGCACAAGGCCCTGAGTTCAAGCCCCAGTACCATCAAAAAACCCAAAAAAATCCTGATGAAATAGCTACTTAAGAATGTGAATGAGAAGCAAAATTTAATTCTATATGTTGAACAAGAAAAATTGGGAAATAAATTAAAATGTAAAATATTTAATTGATCAACATAAATACAAACACGTGGGTCAAAAGACTATCAAAGTAATGTTATTTAGTTATTAAAGGATACCTTTCATGTTTGCAATGTATATAGCATTTGCATTTTTATTGAATAACAATTATAGACAATATCTTCACATGATCAGAGCAAAAGCTCTTTGTGAAGATCCATTGGGTATGGTTTGGTGACACTGTACTCTAGACTCTAGAAATTCCATAGCTTTTGTCAAATTAATCCAAATTCTCAAATGCCACACTAACCTTTGAACTACTCCAATCCTAGTTTAATAGGACATTTCTCTTGCAGTAATTATTTAATACTCAATTTGTTTTTCAGTATTATTAATGTAGGTAATTTCATAATACAAAGTTACTATCTCTTATTGCTATCAAATTCACAAATATGATAACTTTTTACCTACAGAGTGAAAGGTACATTTTTAACCTACTATTTCCCATTTAATCTGTCCTATTAATATAGGACTTTGAAAATTCTCTGAGCTTTCAGAAAAATTCTCCTTAGTACAACAACAGGTGCAATTTCAAAACCAAGATCTAATATAATAGAGATATGACTGGAACTTCTGGGAAAGTTAACATATATGCACAAATGAGAATTAAGAAAATTAATTAGATGAAAAATGAAATTATTTTAAAGACATAGCTGATAAGTGGTTATTGTCATTTACACTTTATTTCAAGGTTATAAACTTAGAAAAATATCAGAAGTATACTACATATCAAATGCTCTAGAAAAGATGTGCAAAAAAGCCCTTTAATTCAAATGAACTTCATCTTTGGATATTATCTAAATTTTTCATTAGAAAAACAGTTATACCCCAATCAATAAATTTCCTTAAAATATACATAGAGAAACAAACTAAAAAACAAGATGAAAACAAAACAAAATGCATGATTTTCAACATGTGTAGAGAATTTGATTAGAAAGAAACAAGATCCATGGCTAAAGGTACATTTGTCCACAGTAGTCTGATGAGGTCAGAATCACAGAGCTTCTTTTAGTCCTGACTATCAGTCTATGTCACCTCCAGGTATTTCCTAATGAAACACCTTGCCCCTGGTAACACATTGCAAGCTGCCAGAATGTGCAATTGAAAGAGAAATAAGATATAAACTTATTTAATAAACAGAGTAAGCAATAGGTTACCACCAAATTTGAAATCAAGCATATTTTGTTTTGTTTCTGACTTTTTCTCAAGGGAAACTTTTAAATGTTAATGCATAATTGAAAGCTTTAATTTTCATTAGAAGTATTTTTTTTCTTGCTAAAAATGTTTGAATTTTACACTTTTTTCACGTGTAGGATGATATGTTCCAATAATTACAAAATTTTTTTCATGGTTCTTGCTTCCTTTACCATTTCTGTATTGTTTGCTTTCTTTCTTTTTTTTTTTTCTGGTTCACATCTTTTTTCTGAAGTCTTTAAGAAGTCTCAAAAAATGCACAAAGTCCTGAATCAAATCCAAATATCAGAGTAACTCAAGTTTACTCAGTTACCAGCTTGTCAGTTGCCTCTCAATGAATTGTGTATGAGACTTTGTTCACTAAACTGATAAAACAAAGTAATGATATTGAAGGACTAGTTTTCAAAACCAGATTTTAGCTACATTGACTCTTTCATGAGTGAATACTCCCAAACAAACTAGTATGTGAAAATATTTTTGGTGGTACATTTTAAACTGCTAGAAACCATAGTGTCACGAGGTCTGAGATTAAATTAATTCAATGGCTCGCGCCGGGTGGGTGGGGGGGAAGGACCGGACCGGCCTTGGAGCTGTGGGACGTTTCGCGACCTCCTTGCCTTCTCTGACGACATCATGCTCCAGTTCCTTCTTGGATTTACCTTTGGCAACGTGGTTGGTATGTACCTGGCTCAGAACTATGACATTCTAAACCTGGCTAAAAAAGTTGAAGAGATTAAAAAGGACTTGGAAGCCAAGAAGAAACCCCCTAGTTCCTAAGGCCCACTCCAGCACTGTGTTCTGGATTCACCAATTCTACTGCTTCTGAGGGGCCGTCGTCACTTCCTAATCCCAAAACTCTTGCTCTCTCCAGTCTCAGCGATTTTCTTCTTTCTAGATGCTGTGTGTTGCCTCAGAGAAAAATGGGGCTACAAGTTGAGAACTACCCTTTATGTTTCCAGCAGCCTCACCTCTTCCCTTGTCTTCCTTCTGGTTTCTTGGGAGGTTCTAAGACTGAATTACGGTGCTAGGTTAGCAAACACAATCTTTAATTAGTAGTTTATTTCCTCCTTGGGATTTCTACTACCTTTTGTTAAAAGAAAAATTGATGAGTTTTGTGTAGCTGACCAGGTATAAGTTATGCTGATTTTCACAGTTTAGCAATTATAATGGGTGCTTGCTAAAACACTTGTCACAAAATTTGTTGATTCAAAGTAATTAAAATATGTAGAAGCCAGTTTCTGGTGAATTATACATTTATTTTATACTGTTATCAGGCAGCTCCACAGTTGATAATTTAACCAATAAATCAGTTTGCTCTTCATTAACTGAGAAACTATATTCTAGAAATTCTGTATAGAACTGGGGAATTAAAAAAAATATGCAAAATAATTGTTTTCCTCTTAATAGAGTTCACAGTCTATTTATGATGCACGTTTTTCCTTAATGATATATTTGGTCTGACTCTTTCCTCCAAAGAATCATGAGATTATAGATGCATTTGACATTGCATGATGGATAAATGAGAAATTGTTGGTGAAGGAAATGTTATGGTGTTTCACACTAAAAAATGTATTTACAGTATAATTTCATAGTGATTATTCTAAGAAAAGTGTGGTCCAAATTCACACTAAAATCAGCAACTCAAGGAGAAAAAATTCTGTTTCTTTTTATAGGTTATTCTTTTTTGGGGTTGGTGTTCTGCAATTAGAAATTACTCTAGTAATTTGTCAAATGTATAATCAGTCTTTTTTGGGGGGGTGAGGTGGGGTGGAGTCTCACTGTGTTGCCCAGGCTGATCGCCAACTCCAGTTTTTGCACCTGAGTGCTGGGACTATAGTTGTATACCATTTCATCTCCATATTTTTTTAATTAAAAATATTTTCCCATGGTTGAAGATACAAAAGTGATTTCATATAAAGGGCCTCTCTAGCTCCTGTCCTCTTGCTCCCAGCCCCTCCCCTTCTGACACTCATCGTTACTTCCTTTGTGCCTTTGAGAAAGAGTCTCTGCCTAAACACTCACTTGCATGAATTTTTTTCTTTTTCTACACAAATGGTAACAAACTATACATAGCCCCCTTTGGAAACCCTCCCTCTTCTTAATGGAAGTCATTCCATATTAGTTTCTAAGGAATAAGAAATCTTATTCCTTTTTTGGCTTCATAATATTCTATTAAATGGATATACCATAATTTAATCTGCTACTGATAAATATTTAGGTTATTCTTTTGCTATTATGGTGATAGCATTGAAACTAATGTTACACATACCTATGTAGGGTATAGCTACAAGATAAAAAGTCCTAAAAAGTATAATTTGTACCAATATAGTGTTTTGTTTCAGAGCTTGTTGGGCAGTTTTACCAATAATGTCTTCCTGAAGACATTTTAGTGGAATCAACAAACTGGAACAAGTATTTATAGTCACCTTTTTCCCGATAGTGATGACACTGATCCTGTATGAGATTCTAAATTAAGTGATCCCACTTCTCTCTGAAAACATGGATCTCATACATGGAGATAAGTTTTTTCCTTGAAAGGGTCATTCTCGTGTGTGAGACAGATCAGGATCAAATTATGGTTTGGTTTCTCCATAGCAGTGGGAAGTGGGCAGATGGTTTATTCTTTTTGAAACTGTTGCATTATTTGTAAGATGTGGATGTAATACCTACCTCAAAGGGTTTTCATGAGAAAATTGAGATTATGTATGTATGTGTTATACCATGCTTTGCAAATTGTCCAATAAATAGTAGACATTAGTTGAAACATAAAAATAAATAAATAAATAAATAAATAAATTCAATGAAATCAAGTGAAGTTTATGAGATAACATTACAAATTTCAAAACAATATCAATGCAAATCTAAGGGAGTATGCTGTCCTCTATAAAATAACATTAGAATATAAATAACTTTGAAAAATTGGAAAAGTGATCAGAAATTAATTCAATGCTCTTCAATTTAGATAAATGTTGAAAGGGAAAAAAAACACTATGCAAATCATAAGAGTGAATAAAGAGATTGATATCTAGGCTATCACCAAAAAGGTTTGGAGTTAATTCACATCTTTTGTAGGATTTCAAATACTTTCAACTCACCTTTGTTTTGTTTTTAGTCACTATAAAATAAAAATATGGCATAAAAATGTATCTACTCACATCATGCCTAACTTAGAGTGGCAAAAGCATATCATCTAATTTAATTTGTTTTGGAATGGTTGTTGAATGTACATCATTTAATTAAGTTTGATTATAAAGCTTGAAAATACCTACTAAGAGCAAGAATTTTCATGGGCTTTAATTTAAACTATTTTTTTCATGAAAAAGCAACATCTTAGTCTGGTTTTTTTCATAATGTCAAAAAATTCTAAACTAAGGTCACTAAAGTTGTCATTTTCTTAATTCATAAGAATTTTCTGACTTTTATTTTACTTTCTGTTGTCCTGAATTATGAGAAACCTCAAATATCAAACATTTGTTGCCTCACAAAACAGTAATTTCATATGTTCCAAAATAATATATTGGCTTCCTCAAGTCTTAATCAGAATCTTATGCAAAGACCCAAATTTGAAAGCAAGAGAGACAAGGCATTTTTTGCAGATACTATTACGTTATCTACCATTTTCCCCCAGAATTATTGTCAACAGAGATGCTACTGCTTTTAAAACTCTAAAAAATATCTTCAATATTGCTTTTATGAGGTGAATTGGATCTACCCCCCACCCCCCCCCAAAGAAAAAACTATAGGCTGTAGACCTAATCCTATCTGAATGTGACCTTATTTGGAATGAAGGTCCTCTTGAGTATAATCAAACTGAGTTTCTACTAGGTTAGCATGGCTCCTAATCCAATGGCTGGTGTCATTGTAAGAGAAAGGAGAGGCACATAGACACACACAGGGGAAAGCCATGTAAAGATGGCGGCACAGATTGGGGTGCTTCTTTCATAAGCTAAGGAACGACCAAGGATAGCTTACAAATACTAGAAGCTAAAGGATAGGCCTAGAAAAGATGTTCTGAGTGCCCAGAAAAGAATCATTCCTGATGAAAACTTGATTTGAAGCTTTGTGGTCAAGAACTGTGAGGAAATGGATTTCTGTTATTTTCAGCTGACAAGTTTATAGTAATGTGTTATATGTTATAACAGTCCTAGGAAACTATTATGATTGCTAAGGTCATCTTCATCTGAGGTCCCCAAAGTTACCAGATTTATTTTCATTATTAGACACCGCATCTCATCCACCTAAAGGTGCAAGGACTTTATTTGCCAAGTTGTGTGTTCTGGAGCCATCAAAATATGGAAGCCATCAGGACAACTATGTTCTTCCTACTCTTTTTTTATGCTCCATTATATGGCACAAAAACAATAGTACCTGAAAAGTTTCACAATGTATCAGTAGAATAAACCCTTACACGTTTTTCTGCTAAATTTTACATGTAGTTTCCTCGTTCCTGAGAAATGAAATGAATACTTGGAGTTTGAGCAGATGGACCATCACCTTATTATCTTCAGAATTTGTCCTTGTCAGCTGATCTGTACTTCTTCTCTTGCTCCCAAACAAGCACTTATTTTGCAATGATCTCATGAAAATAAGATTCTAGATCTTGGGTTGTCCGCAGGACAGAGGTAGAGATAATGGATTATTTTAAAGAAATATGTATGATTGAATCCTATATAAATACAATATAAACTTGAGTTGGAAATAAACCACTTCTTGTAGGATCAGCTAAATTTTTCCTTTATGAATTTTCTTGAATACTTCAAAATCTTACATGTTAATGTAGAACTAGGAGACAATGTGAGTATTTGAGCTGGATGTTGGGTATACAAAATGGATGTACAGGAAGAAGGAAAATATTAAAACCAAAAAAAAGAGGAAAAGTCTGGAATAAATATATAATAGATGAAATATATCTTGTGTGGTCAACTATCAGAGTAAATGAAGAAAATTGTGGGAATGAAAACTAGTACAACCACTCTGGAAAAAAATTTGGAGGCTACTTAAAAAGCTAAACATTGATCTACCATTTGATCCTGCAATACCACTTTTGGGGATATACCCAAAAGACTGTGACACAGGTTACTCCAGAGGCACCTGCACACCCATGTTTATTGCAACACTCACTATTCACAATAGTCAAGTTATGGAAACAGCCAAGATGCCCCACCACTGACGAATGGATTAAGAAAATGGTATCTATACATATGGAATTTTATGCAGCCATGAAGAAGAACGAAATGTTATCATTTGCTGGTAAATGGATGGAATTGGAGAACATCATTCTGAGTGAGGTTAGCCTGGCCCCAAAGACCAAAAATCGTATGTTCTCCCTCATATGTGGACATTAGATCAAGGGCAAACACAACAATGGGATTGGACTTTGAGCACATGATAAAAGCAAGAGCACACAAAGGAGGGGTGAGGATAGGTAAGACACCTAAAAAATTAGCTAGCATTTGTTGCCCTTAACGCAGAGAAACTAAAGCAGATACCTTAAAAGCAACTGAGGCCAATAGGAAAAGGGGACCAGGAACTAGAGAAAAGGATAGATCAAAAAGAATTAACCTAGAAGGTAACACACATGCATAGGAAATTAATGTGAGTCAAATCCCTGTATAGCTGTCCTTATCTCAACCAGCAAAAACACTTGCTCCTTCCTATTATTGCTGATACTCTCTCTTCAACAAAATTAGAGATAAGGGCAAAATAGTTTCTGCTGGGTATTGAGGGGGTGGGGGAGAGAGGGAGGGGGCAGACTGGGTGGTAAGGGAGGGGGTGGGGGCAGGGGGGAGAAATGACCCAAGCCTTGTATGCACATATGAATAATAAA